ACAATAAAATAAACAGTCTCTCAGATTATAAGGAAACAGGATGCAGGCTGTAGGTACAAGAAGTCACTAGCTCAGTGCTGTTTTCTGGTTGATCATTCAGACCCTAGAAAAAAGCACTTGTACTCGGTAGCTCACAATCTGGTCTTTTCCCAGTGGACATTTATTTCTTACTAGACAGCGGCACACACTATAAGAGAAATCTTAAAATCAACCCGCCCAAGAAACACAATCACATCTTCAAACAAACCTTTTTTAGGATGGGGTTTTGGAGGTTCTGTAGCCACTGGCAATGAAGAAACCTGAAAAGACAGAAAAGAGGAGTATTAAATACACCGGCCAAGTTTTCTTGAAGATCTATTCCAGAAAATAATCAGAAAGGACAACTGGCAAATCCCATAAGAGGGCACAAAAATAGCATCATTGCCACTAGACAAACTCTGCACTACCAAGCACTGCTTTTCCCTGGCCACAGCTAGGTATAGATTTCTGTTCACCATACAGATTAAATAAACCCACTCAGTTTACAGCACATTCCTCTTCTGTAGGCTCAGTGCTATTTATGAGGATTCTAGCAAGTGATCATTACCTTGTAAAAAACCAAAACTCTAGCATTTAAGATGCTAATTAGAACTCACACAGGAAAATGTCAAAAGCATTTCGTATAAAACATTTTTAAAGTTAATTAGAACAACGCCGTTCCTGGGGAACCATCAGAGTGTGCAGGCGCATGAGCGCAGCGCTGTCCCACTGCACGGCGGGCAACAAACCTCGACCTGCAAATGTTGTCCAGAGCTCACAGACACGCAGGTACCAAGTCCGTGGAAAATCATGCATTTTACACTTTTTTCTTACTTTGCATCAAAAATTCAGCCTTCACAGAAGAGAAGAATGATTACACAGGAAAAAGTTTTTATTTTTGACTTCCAGTTCTTGTTGAGGAAGAGACATTCCTCATTCCTCTTCCCCAGACACAACCCAGGATTTTACAGACCTCTGTCACCTCCCCTCTCCTTAATAAACAATTTGTAACAGTGGAGATTCAGTCTACCCTTATTCCTTGTAATGTTTTGTCAACGTTTTCTAGTTCTATTCTCTTTTTTTATTGGAGGTGGGGAGGATCAGAACTTGCACAGTATCTGAGATATGAAAAATAAGCCAGATGCATACAGGAAAGGCTTTAACCAGCTTTGTTTCCTAACAATTTCTAACATTTTATTCACTTTTTCTGATTCCTATTGTGAAAAGCTGAATTAATACTTTCACAGAATTACCCAACTCCAAGAACTCATTCCTAAACAGCAATAACCAGCACAAAGCCCCTCATTTTTTTATATATTTGCAATTTATTTTTAATCTGTACACATCATTCCAATTCTGAGACCTGTCACTCAGCACCGTTCAGACTTTCCTGTAGTTTCTCACATTTCCTCCTCAGATGAATAATTTTCTAGCCATCCTTTTGCCCAGACTGTTTGCAGGCACACTGAGCAACACAGACCTGGTATAGATCCCTGCAGGGCTTCACTATCGACTGCCCTCCACCAGAAAAAAAAAGAGCATTTACTCCTTCTTTCTGCTCCTCACCTTTTAGAATCACATAATGGTTTGGGTTGGAAGGGACCTTTAAAGGCCATCTAGTCCAACCCCCCTGCAGTGAGCAGGGACAGATTCAACCACATCAGGCAAACTCAGAGCCCCATCCAACCCAGCCTTGAATGCTTCCAGGGATGGGGCATCAACCAGCTCTCTGGGCAACCTGTGCCAGTCCCTCATCGTAAAAAATTTCTTCCTTCTAACCAGTCTAAATCTCCCCTCTTTTAGTTTAAAACCATTACCCTTTGTCCTATTGCAAAAGGCCCTGCTAAAAAGCCCCTCTCCAGCTCTCTTGCAGGCCCGTTCAGGTACTGGAAGGCCCCAGTAAGGTCACCCCACAGCCTTCTCTTCTCCAGGCTGAGCAGTAACAACTTTCTCAGCCTTTCCTCACAGCAGAGGGGTTCCAGCCCTCGGATCATTTTTGTGGCCTCCTCTGGCCCCACTCCAACAGGTCCAGGTCTGTCCTGTGCTGAGGGCTCCAGAGCTGGATGCGGGACTCCAGATGGGGTCTCACCAGAGCGGAGCAGAGGGGCAGAATCCCCTCCCTCGACCTGCTGGCCACACTTCTTTTGATGCAGCCCAGGGTATGGTTGGTTGGCCTTCTGGGCTGCAAGCACACACTGCTGGGCCATGCTGAGCTTCTTCTCATCAACCAGCACCGCCAAGTGTCCATCCAATGCGTCGACCGCACCACTCAGCTTGGTGTCGTCGGCAAACTTGCTGAGGGTGTGCTCGATCTTGCTGTCTGTATCATTGATGAAGATATTAAACGGCCCTGGTTCCAGCATAGAGCCCTGAGGGACACCACTTGTCCCTGATCTCCATCTGGACATCGAGCTGTTGACCACTACCCTCTGGCTGCGACCTTCCTACCAATTCCTCACCCACCGGACAGTCCTCCCACCCAATCCACCTCTGTCCAATTTAGAGAAGGATGTTGTGGCGGACCGTGTTGAAGGCCTTGCATTAGTCCAGAGAGATGTGCAGCTCGCCCCTTGTCCAAGGACGCAGCCACTCCGCCACAGCAGGCCCCAAGGCCAAACAAGCAGGACTTGCCCTCAGCAAAGCCATGCTGGCTGTCCCCAGTCCCCCCCCTCTCCTCCATCTGCTTCTAGCAGGAAGCCATTTCTTTAAATCAGGTATTTATCACAGAATCACAGAATGGTTGGGGTTGGAAGGGACCTCTGTGGGTCACCCAGTCCAACCCCCCTGCCAAAGCAGGGTCACCGAGAGCAGGCTGCACAGGACCTTGTCCAGGTGGGTCTTGAATATCTGCAGCGAAGGAGACTCCACCACCTCCCCGGGCAGCCTGTTCCAGGGCTCCGTCACCCTCAGAGGGAAGAAGTTCTTCCTCATGTTCAGACGGAACTTCCTGTGCTTCAGTTTGTGCCCGTTGCCCCTTGTCCTGTCGCTGGGCACCACTGAAAAGAGTTTGGCCCCATCCTCCTGACACCCAC